AAACAAAGCGTAACATAGTCTTGCCTTGACATTGGTCCATTTTGCGGCAGAATTGGCCCATAAATATCTTAATAATGTAAAATATTGAACCAGTAGCAATCTTTCTGGACCACAACTTGCATATCGTTTAAATAATGTAACTTTTTTCTAGTTCTCACTTCATAATGAATTAATATGTAGGTTGACACACAAAATCAATTGACCATGCGCCATCAATTATTCGGTATTTTACTTAAATAAACCATCGTCTAATGTAATTATAAGGCATTCCATTACAATTTTGAATGAAATATCTGAAATTTAATATTATTTACTAAAGCAGGATTATCCATATTAGTTAATATATACAAACAATAAATTTGTTCAATTATATTCAATTTAAATTAGTTGACCTACCGGCTATTATTAAATAATGTTTTTATTTTAATAAATACGTGTTCATATGTAATTTTCAGTGAGCTTCATATTAACTTATTAATAAATAAAATAAATCCAGTATACTTACATTTTAAATCGGTTGAGGTTTAACGCTTTGGATAACTAATGTTAAAGCAAATCAATTGACATGAATTCATTACTGCTTAAAATCAATTTTTTTGATCCTAGTAAAATGAATTTGAAAATGTTGCGATCTTTATTATATTAAGAAATAAAAAGGTTGCTAGCATAAATTAACGGCTCCAAAAAGGCACTTACCACAATTTACTAGTAGGAGAGACTGGGTACGGTTGTGCCAGAGCACGGTAGAGACAGTTGTCATACCATCTAAACTATACTGATTATGAAATAGAGTCCAGAGGGAAAAAGATGAAGTATGTTTATTCGAATAAGTTTCCTTTATTGCATTCAATTAGCGCCCTACAATGACATGATCTGTAGACCACATTGCTTTTATGGAGTCAAAAGTAGATTTTTTTTATCGATCTTTTTAAATAATAACTGTTACTTGTATATTGATAGATCATTTTATTTGTTATTTGGCTGTAAGATGAACATTAGTAGTTAATTACCAACATGTATCTCTGGTCCACTTCGGGCGAAGATCACACAGATAAAAAAATCATATTGATGACAATAAAAGTCGTTATAAATCATTTTGGTGTTTATAGCTATTATTTTTTAACTTCTGTTTATGCTTGTTCACACCCCCAGCACGGTATTGACACTCCCTTTTTTCTTGTACGATTTTATTTTATGACTAATCAGTCGTATTTAAGGACAGTATTTCAGTATTTTCACATAGACAAATATTCAAATTACCATTTAATTTTTTTTTTCAGCTAACTGGTAAATTAACAAAATTATTGCTGATCCAACAAAAATGTGGCACAACCTGCCCTATATGACATAATTTTCCAAAATGAATCGAATCATGAAAAATTTAATTATATAGTATTATATAGTTATAATTTCATATTTATAGTTTATTTATTATCTATTTAATATCTTATACATATAGTCCCTGCCTATATCATTCGTAGATAAACTCTTGACACAGTTAATGCTGAAAATGAAAGTAGATTAATATCTATTTAAGCAAACAAGGTGATATAAGAAATACTTACAACATATTTATGAATGACTTGATTTCGAAGGTTTGCAATATGAATCATAAATGTTTTTGTACTTAAAGCTATAAACCTATCGGCGGCATTTGAATAATAAGTACCTATTATTATCTTTATATGAGATATGTTGATAATGACCCATATTTATTACAGTAATATATAATTTCAAATAGACACGATTTACTGGAAGTAATAATTATAAAATATTTTTAAAATATAGTATCTGATTATTCCAAATAGATCATAATTTATGTAAATTGTTTTCGCGCTTTAAATTACACTTTCTTTTATTTTTAGAAATGCACAGGTGCTTTTTTGTACTATTTTACCTGGTTATTTTGATGCAAAGCATCTCAATGTGCTACTTTTTTATCATTTTTCAATTAGTTAGGTGTAAAATGCTATATTGGCGATTAAGTGCAATTCTAATTCCTAACCCCAAAACCATGGTGAAAAAGGGAATATTTACTTCAAAATGATTGAAATACACATTTTAGTTATTAAACTCCCGTAAGGGATATATAGTAATAGCAAAAAAATCGAAAATAATTTCTTTTATAAATCTTTACATATCAAAATCTTCTAAACATTTTGGTATTCCTTAGAAAAAATTGAAGTATACGTGTTGCGCGTGTGTTTCGTGATTTTTGGGAAGACAAGTCTAGCGGTTTCGGAAATGCTATGAAAAAAAGTAAAAAAAAAATGCTATTTGTCGGTCAAAAATGATCATTAGACGTATTTACATCAAATTCTCAGATATTTAAATATTAAACATTTTATGACAATCATCTGAAATATGAACAACTATGATCTTGAGAAAATTGACTACCAAGAATTACAAGATGATCCTTAAATTTAAAAATAAAACAACTTGAGGACCATAAATTTCGCAATTTGACAAATAATAAATACAACTTAATAATACTAATTTTAAAGTGGAAAGAAGAAAACAAAAAAATGATCCATTAAGAAATATCACAATCTGACTATAGTATAAAATAAATACAATTTATTATTTCATTGAATTGAAAACTCGAAAAAAATGGAACGATCGATAAGTATATAAATAAAATAGTCATAAATTTTGGAATTTTAAAAAGGAATATGTGTTTAAAGAAAACTACATAGAGTACTGCGCGGCTTAAAAATCCATAACAGAAGTATTTTCTTTCGTAATTAGCATTTTTGGTCAAGACCTTAATATAATTCTGAAGTTTACGTTATTTAATTGTTTTATAAGATATATTGTTAATTTTAAGTTAGATTCAACAGTTGTTTTTATATAATCTCTGTAAAAGCTTTTCATGCGGGGTGGGGTGGGGTAAAAAAGCGTACCATCTGAACCCTGGCAAAGGTGTAAACAATAAAAAATATTAAATTAAGATAAAAAAGTCATTTTACAAGAGATAAATTAAATAAATAGCTTTTCCAACTCTTCTGATGAATATTTTTGACGAAATACCAGATCAAGGTTATATACAGTGTTATCTCTGTAAAAAATGCACCCGTGATATTTATATTTTGCATTAGAAGAATAATTAGCTATTATTTCGTAAAATTCCTTTAGAATTAAAAATTAAAAATTGAACCTATTCGCCCCCTGACCTCGGTTTCATTTTACCTTGGCTACAGGGTAAAAAGGACTAGGTTAGAAATTTTTGAAAAACAGTAAAAAAGCTATTACTATATAAGCTGGAAATTTTACTGAACATAGTCGGATAGTTATTTGTTTGATATGTGTTATACGGCAGAACTGTGCGGCATTCGCTTTCGATGAAATCATTTCTCTACGGGTCGATTAGTCGTTATGTATGTGAATAGAGATCTGTCGTTGTATGCGTACCGGCATCAACGTTGGTTGTCTAAATAAACATTTTGAAGTTACATCGTAGTACAAATCTTGATTTAATGAAAAATGCCTGAATCAGAAGAATATTTTACCCTGTTTCTTGAAAATATTGATTAATGATTAACATTAATGATTAGTAAGTTTATTGATTAGAAATTAATTCTATATTATTCGTAGTTTCTATAAATCTTCTTCAAGAACAATTCAAAAACAATTATATGATGAATGAAGTGAAGAATATTTGTTTAGGCGTTGCATTCATTTTGTTTAGGCGTTAACATAATCCGCAGTGTGAACAAATAATAAAGAATTTATTAATCACCAATTACTTCATTTCTCTAATGAAGGTTTATTTCTAAATGCTAATTACAATGACAAACCGATCATGTCATATTTGAAGTATGACTTTAATTACATTTTTGTTTTAAATATTATACATATTTTTAATGCTATTATAAACATATATTTTTTAATTTATCATTATATTAATGTGTATAATAGTTGACACTAATAAATCCGTGCATCACGAGTGTTACCATATTACTAATAAACGTTATTCAAAATTGTTATATGATGTATTTATTTTCACTTAAATGTCATTTTGTACAGTATACTACAGTATACAAATAATTATTACTTCAATGCGTGTGAACCTTACAAGCACTTTTTTTATTTATGGCTTTTAATCTTTACACATTTATTTACATTTCAAAATTTATAAATCAATCTTCAGTGCTGGATATACAGTAGGGACAGTCGGGGTTACTGCCCAGGGCGGCAAAATTTGGATAGTGAAAAAAAAAATTATATACAATATAATTAACTCATTTTTTCATAACATTTTTTATTTCAAGAAACATAATTAACAACACATAATACGATTGCAATGCAAAATTTGGCAATTTTGCTAATATAAAGCTTCGTAAACTAGCTGAAAGTTTAAGAATAATAACTTCTAAGCATATAGTGCCAAAAAAAACTAAAATAGTGACGCATCGCATTGTGCGTTAAGGCAAGTTACCGAAACTTTCCGTGCTGAAAATTACATTTTATAAATAGCTTTAAATAACTCAATTTTTTCAAAAAAATCAATTTTTTTCAAAGTTTTCAAAATATTTTAATTTTTTTTAATTTTAATTTTCAGTACGGAAGTTCCAGCAATTTGCTTTAAGACGCGATGCCAAGCACCACTATTTATAGTATGTAATGTGTAATGAATTTTAAATTAATTAAAATGATTTTTTATATAAAAACTATTTAAGTAAAAATCCAGGGTTGGGGCGGCATATTTGTCAGTGCTCCAGGGCGCCTAATTTCTAAATCTGGCACTGTCAATCTTAATATTAGTTTTATATACTTACATACCCCTACTAAAATTTGAATATTTGCATCTTAGTTGTCGACGCCTGTCGTGATTCGCCTGAACTTTATCTGTTTCGAAGCGCCGTCGGTTTGTATCCCAGGTTCGTGTCTGATATAACAGTGGTACTATTTAGTTTCGCTTTTGGCGTATAGATGTCCGACCTGTATGAGCCGAAGTGCTCGGCACATGTGAGTGAGTGTACTCCGTCGACCGTCGGGCGCAATGCGTATGCACGCCGCTCGAAGTATCCAATCCGCTCCAGTCAAATATCAGTCGATGTCGTGAAGTGTGTAGTGCATTGAGAATTGTGTTGAATATATCGTGTTGTTTTGGATATTAATTTATAATTAGACCCTGACAGTTACGAGGTGAGTTAAATTTATGTGATTCATATTATTTTAGATTTTACTCGAACTAGAACATGCTTTCTTTCACCTTTCTAACGAATTCTCTTAAATATGTCGTGTTACATTTACAAATGGCGTCACAATGTTTTTTTCTTGGTTAGGTTAGAAAATCTTTCAAGTAAACGAAGCACGTTATTGATTTTTTAATTGTATGTTTATACCTCGGGGAAAACAAAGTGAGTGTTATGCTAAATCTGATGCAGGCTTTAAAATTATGTAGATTTAAGTTAGGGATAAATGTCTTTATATTAATATTTACCTTTTTAATCATTCACAAAGCACCTGTACATTTTGGTACAGCTAAACAATTGTCAGTTTCTGCTGAGATGTTAACATTGTAATAAATTTTCTAATAGTTGCCAAATTTTTGGCAGTTAAAATTTATTTATCTTGTTTAATTATAACCTCAAATATCCTACTGTTTATAAAATCCATTTATTATAATTTGCAAATTTTTATAACTCAATATTTTTAAATTGTGATGCATTGTTACACATTGTTTATGCAAGATTATCAAGCAATTAATTTTCGTAATCAATAATAATATCTTTAGTGCATAAAGTATTTTTGTAAAAAGTTATTTCACACCTATACATTTCTTTTATATTTTTCTCATTTTTTGTGAATTCTATTTCATAAAAAACTATTTGACCTAACTATTTTATATTATATACTTTCAAATTATTTTCACCGAACATTAATTTAATTCTAACCTTAACTTGAGCTGAACCTTCAGGTCTGCCTTTATGTGCCTAGGCCAGTGGTTTTCAACCTTTTTGTACCACACTCCCTGTTTCTTTAAAAATTATTGCGCCCGCTTTAATTTTTTTTTAATCTAATTTCATACATACTGAACTGATTTACTTATCTTACTTAATTTATTTATCAAGCTGCAAATAAATATACAATATTATGTAAAAATGATTAAAAAATCGTATATTTATGTTCAATTTCCGTAGGGTAAGTTATAGTAATCGAATAAAAATAGAAAATAAAAAAAAACATATCTTTACGTTTCAAAGGTTTCTGAACATTTTGGCATATCTTAGAAAAAATGGATGTATGTGTGTGTGAATGTATGTTTGGACACAAATTTACATCCACGATTTTTAGAGCACGGATCTACCAATTTTGATTATTCTGTTAACATTCGATTCTTATTGATGAGGAGACGTGCTGATCAATTTTTGGCAAAGGCAGGTCTAACCGTTTCGAAGATACGGGGCAAAAAAGACAAATATGGTAATTCAGTTTTTGGGAGAACGAAGCGTCCGATTTTAATGATTCACAAACAATTTGACTTGTGTTGGCGGAATAAAGAATTTATTAAATTTCTAAGAAGGCAGGTCCAGCGGTTTCGGGGATCCACTAAAAAAAAGTTCTAAAAAATGGCATTAATTAATTAATTTTTTAAAATGATCACTAGGCACTTGCACCTCAAGGTATTAAATGATTTATATAAATTCTAATAATAAGTACAAACTTTTACGATAACTTACGAAAAAATTCCAAATTTTCGAAAAAATTTAAAGTTTTTAAACAAATCTAATAAGGTGGCATCTATTAATCACGTGAGGTTTTTAGGGGAGGGGGGGTTTGACAAAAATTACGAAATATCACATGGGGGAGGGACAGGTATAGTAATATATCACGTATATTATTTTCAAAAAATCGAAAATTTTACAATTATTTTCACGTAACTAAAAATACACGTGATGTTTGGTGGGGGAGGTAGGGTAATTTTGAATATCACCAACGGGGAGGGGTTGTACAAAAATTCTTAAAAAATTGATCACGTGATTAATGGACGCCCCCTAACGGTACGAGAAGTTCCAGCAATGTGCCTCAAGGCACAATGCCGTGCATCACTAGTTTATTTATTTGTTATCATTTCAACATTTTTGATTTATTTTCAAAATACAATTTTGGAAGCAGCTATACGCCTATTTTTGACATTTTAACCCCCCCACGGGTTGGGAACCGCGGGTCTAAGCAAATAACTCTTTGAAGTACTTTTGTATTTGCCGCGTTTTTTCTTCGCTCATAAGAATCATGGACATAATCCCGCGTTCTGTTTCGAATAAAATTAATTTCGAAAATGAAGATGAAAAGATATTACATTGAATTTGGTCGAAAACTTGCGTGTCATAGTACATACAGAAATCTGTTTGATTCCGACAATGTTTGACGGTCTTTTTATTATTCGCGTTGAACTAGCAGCCGTCAAGTGTTTCACATCGTACGGTGTTTTTGACATAGCGTTACGTTATTTTATTATTAACTTTATCTTAAATTGTAACATCCGCCTGGTGTCATTAGCCCCGAGATTTTTTTCATATCATAAAACTATTCATGCGTTCATTTTTCTGAAGCCGAGAATTGAATTTGCACGTATTCTCATGCAGATCTGTGCTAGAAATCGAATTAGTAAATTAATAATGAGTTATTAATTATATTCTCGTTGTTGTTGCTATCAAGTTCTACGTAATTGTTCTTTTTCCTGCAAAAGTTAGATGAAAAACACAATATGTAGCATGATGTATAAAATATAAAACGTTTATTTAAAACAACTATAATTTTTAACGATTTTCTATCATCATAAAGTTGTTTTAATGAACATACTAAAGTATTACAAACTTACGAAACGTAGTTCAATTACTGAAATTTACCAAAGTTTGGAATAATGTACGGTACATTTAGTTAGTTTTCAATCTAATGTTACAAGTTGTCTAATCTCATTTAAATCAATATAAGATAATATATCGATATAATTAATAATAATATACCAATTATGGTATCGATTATGTCGATTCTGGGATTCGTATCGATTATCCAGATTCTGGGAAATTTTTGCAAAAGTCAAAATGCCACTTACACCCACTAATTATTAGAGCGGTATTGAGTCCGACATACCCAGACAAAAGACCAGTCTGGGATGCATAATGGTATTTCCTTCTCTATACAAAAAAAAACACTAATTATTATTATTATGTTTCAAATTTACTAAACATGTTTTATAATTAAAATTTTAACACTGTTCAGAGCAATAGCGCTAAACTGTTGATTTACCGCCCTTTTTTGAAAATATAAAACTTACAAAAATATTCAAGAATATAGTTTTGAATCATGAAAACGTTGATAATTATTACTTGTTATTTTATTGTCCACTCAAATATTTTACTGTTGAATCTGGTCACGTATAAAAAATTTAAGACTTTTTGCATTAAAATCACAATGAATATAATTTATTCGGAACAATTTTGAACACACTATTTTCCGTTCATTATTCGGGAGCATCAGCTTTGGGAGTTTGTTGTGAAAAATCTTTTCTATCTCGATATTTTTTCTGCAATTTTTCAAATACACTTTTGATTGATACTTTAAATGTGATACTTTTGTACGATTTATAGTTTTTGGACTGTGCTTCTGCTGGTTTTAAGGCGGTATTCTGGTCGTAAAAAAGGCAAACAATATTTTTACTATATTTTTTACTAGTTTCAATCAATGTTTTGAAAATTTATAAAAAAATAAAAATTAAACATTGTCATAAACTTTTAATTTCTGAAAGTCATAAAGGTGGAGAGTCTCAAAAAATTGGCACTTGACTATACCCATGTTTACAGCCCTCTAAATAATAAAGAAATATATACATTATTAATCTAGAATAATGTCGATAGCGATCAACTACGGACAAGTTTATTTAAATGTTTCCAAAAAATAGCTACTGCTTGAAAAAAAATTATGTTCTCGATTATTTAAAAAATGGTTAAAATCAAAATTTAAGAATGAGCGTAGTTCATAAAAGTCTATAAAGTTTCTGAAAATTTCAAGTAAATCGGTCGAGTAGAAGTTCAGAATTCGTGGGTATCGTATCGAGAATGAGTTTCGAGAAAAAACGCTTTTAAACTTTTGTGGAGGAATGAAATAGAGGAGGTTTATCGCAGTCAAACATCTCTGAAAATAATTTAAATTTTTAAAAATCTTCTTGCACACATATTCTTGAATAGTTGAACTTTAGAAAAAAGAAACAAAATCATTTTTTTACCCCCTTAAGACAATATTAGATGACGTACTATTATCTATGTATGGTGTCTAAATTAGTGTTCGAAATTATCATGTTTTCATATTATCGACATCATTCCCACAATTCGATACTTGATTATATTACTAATAATCTTTAATACAATTGCCTTTGTATATTTATCTTAATCACGCTGGAATTATCATTCAGTCGTAACTCTGATAAAAATATATCTGTATCATTAATTTATCATCTCTGTCTAAATTAATCATTATTTAATCAACATGAAAATAATTTGACGTAATATTGCTATTGAGAAGTTAAAATATGAACATTTTGTTTTTATTTATAATTTCTTATACTGCACGATTAGTTGAAACATATTCGTGTATTGTCGTATATTAATATACATATTTACATATTATTATTTAATTGTTTATATATTTTTTTTAAATAATATGAGTTTGGAGTTAAAATGGAAGCGTTATGTTTATTTTGTATAAAATTTTATGATATTGGAGAAATAAAATGAATTTTTGATAACTTACTTAATTTGTTGTATATTCTGGGTGAAAATCCATTTTCTCGAAGTCATAAAAACAGATGTATTGATACATTCAAAATGATACTTCTAATGAGTCATCAGAAGTTTTATAAGAAAATTACTAATATATAATTTTTAGTAATAGAATCTATATTTTATTACCACTTTCATTCAAATAAGCTAAAAAATACTAGTTCGTGATGGTGTATGGTTTTTTAAAATTTAATTTTTTAGGACTGAATTTTTTTTTTCATATAAAAAATACGTATTCAGAAAAACTTTTTTTTTATTTAGAACTTTCGACCTACTTTTTACAAGTTCGGAAAGAAACCCGGTTATATTAACATACTAAAAGTCGTTGCCAGAGTGTATTTACAAATCCGTTCAATTGAGTTG